AGGCAGCTGGTGGTGGTGGAGGTCCCAGCAGGTGGGGAGGGGACTCGCTCAAAAGACCTGAGGGGGAAAGAGAAATTCATGTTAATAGGGAGAGACCCCGGGAATCCTGGCGCCCAGCCCCCGCTCTAACCACTAGTCCCCACTCCGCTCTCAGCCCCGGGGAGAGAGCCCAGGAATCCAGGCTGGAGGCGGTGCCTCTGCGGATTAACTCTCCCTGGAGGGTTGTTCTGGAGCAGGAGCGGGGATTTTCCCCCCCCACACACACCGGTTCTAGGAAGGGTGTGGGCCTGCTGATACCAGCCTCCAGAGCCGGTAGGACAGGTTGGTCTGACATCTGTTCCAAAAATAAACCTGACTCAAGAGCTCAGGAATTATCCCTATGTGAGCCATCGCCATGCTGTGTTATATGTGGCCGTTCCCCATCTGCTCCACCCCAGAGGCGGCCGCCTCTCAGTGCCGGGCAAGCCATCGCCATGCTGTGTTATATGTGGCCGTTCCCCATCTGCTCCACCCCAGAGGCGGCCGCCTCTCAGTGCCGGGCAAGCCATCGCCATGCTGTGTTATATGTGGCCGTTCCCCATCTGCTCCACCCCAGAGGCGTCCGCATCTCAGTGCCGGGCGAGTCATCTCAGTGTGGCGTTATGTGCAGCTGTTCCCCATCTGCTCCACCCCAGAGGCGGCCGCCTCTCAGTGCCGGGCAAGCCATCGCCATGCTGTGTTATATGTGGCCGTTCCCCATCTGCTCCACCCCAGAGGCGGCCGCCTCTCAGTGCCGGGCAAGCCATCGCCATGCTGTGTTATATGTGGCCGTTCCCCATCTGCTCCACCCCAGAGGCGGCCGCCTCTCAGTGCCGGGCAAGCCATCGCCATGCTGTGTTATATGTGGCCGTTCCCCATCTGCTCCACCCCAGAGGCGGCCGCCTCTCAGTGCCGGGCAAGCCATCGCCATGCTGTGTTATATGTGGCCGTTCCCCATCTGCTCCACCCCAGAGGCGGCCGCCTCTCAGTGCCGGGCAAGCCATCGCCATGCTGTGTTATATGTGGCCGTTCCCCATCTGCTCCACCCCAGAGGCGGCCGCCTCTCAGTGCCGGGCAAGCCATCGCCATGCTGTGTTATATGTGGCCGTTCCCCATCTGCTCCACCCCAGAGGCGGCCGCCTCTCAGTGCCGGGCAAGCCATCGCCATGCTGTGTTATATGTGGCCGTTCCCCATCTGCTCCACCCCAGAGGCGGCCGCCTCTCAGTGCCGGGCAAGCCATCGCCATGCTGTGTTATATGTGGCCGTTCCCCATCTGCTCCACCCCAGAGGCGGCCGCCTCTCAGTGCCGGGCAAGCCATCGCCATGCTGTGTTATATGTGGCCGTTCCCCATCTGCTCCACCCCAGAGGCGGCCGCCTCTCAGTGCCGGGCAAGCCATCGCCATGCTGTGTTATATGTGGCCGTTCCCCATCTGCTCCACCCCAGAGGCGGCCGCCTCTCAGTGCCGGGCAAGCCATCGCCATGCTGTGTTATATGTGGCCGTTCCCCATCTGCTCCACCCCAGAGGCGGCCGCCTCTCAGTGCCGGGCAAGCCATCGCCATGCTGTGTTATATGTGGCCGTTCCCCATCTGCTCCACCCCAGAGGCGGCCGCCTCTCAGTGCCGGGCAAGCCATCGCCATGCTGTGTTATATGTGGCCGTTCCCCATCTGCTCCACCCCAGAGGCGGCCGCCTCTCAGTGCCGGGCAAGCCATCGCCATGCTGTGTTATATGTGGCCGTTCCCCATCTGCTCCACCCCAGAGGCGGCCGCCTCTCAGTGCCGGGCAAGCCATCGCCATGCTGTGTTATATGTGGCCGTTCCCCATCTGCTCCACCCCAGAGGCGGCCGCCTCTCAGTGCCGGGCAAGCCATCGCCATGCTGTGTTATATGTGGCCGTTCCCCATCTGCTCCACCCCAGAGGCGGCCGCCTCTCAGTGCCGGGCAAGCCATCGCCATGCTGTGTTATATGTGGCCGTTCCCCATCTGCTCCACCCCAGAGGCGGCCGCCTCTCAGTGCCGGGCAAGCCATCGCCATGCTGTGTTATATGTGGCCGTTCCCCATCTGCTCCACCCCAGAGGCGGCCGCCTCTCAGTGCCGGGCAAGCCATCGCCATGCTGTGTTATATGTGGCCGTTCCCCATCTGCTCCACCCCAGAGGCGGCCGCCTCTCAGTGCCGGGCAAGCCATCGCCATGCTGTGTTATATGTGGCCGTTCCCCATCTGCTCCACCCCAGAGGCGGCCGCCTCTCAGTGCCGGGCAAGCCATCGCCATGCTGTGTTATATGTGGCCGTTCCCCATCTGCTCCACCCCAGAGGCGGCCGCCTCTCAGTGCCGGGCAAGCCATCGCCATGCTGTGTTATATGTGGCCGTTCCCCATCTGCTCCACCCCAGAGGCGGCCGCCTCTCAGTGCCGGGCAAGCCATCGCCATGCTGTGTTATATGTGGCCGTTCCCCATCTGCTCCACCCCAGAGGCGGCCGCCTCTCAGTGCCGGGCAAGCCATCGCCATGCTGTGTTATATGTGGCCGTTCCCCATCTGCTCCACCCCAGAGGCGGCCGCCTCTCAGTGCCGGGCAAGCCATCGCCATGCTGTGTTATATGTGGCCGTTCCCCATCTGCTCCACCCCAGAGGCGGCCGCCTCTCAGTGCCGGGCAAGCCATCGCCATGCTGTGTTATATGTGGCCGTTCCCCATCTGCTCCACCCCAGAGGCGGCCGCCTCTCAGTGCCGGGCAAGCCATCGCCATGCTGTGTTATATGTGGCCGTTCCCCATCTGCTCCACCCCAGAGGCGGCCGCCTCTCAGTGCCGGGCAAGCCATCGCCATGCTGTGTTATATGTGGCCGTTCCCCATCTGCTCCACCCCAGAGGCGGCCGCCTCTCAGTGCCGGGCAAGCCATCGCCATGCTGTGTTATATGTGGCCGTTCCCCATCTGCTCCACCCCAGAGGCGGCCGCCTCTCAGTGCCGGGCAAGCCATCGCCATGCTGTGTTATATGTGGCCGTTCCCCATCTGCTCCACCCCAGAGGCGGCCGCCTCTCAGTGCCGGGCAAGCCATCGCCATGCTGTGTTATATGTGGCCGTTCCCCATCTGCTCCACCCCAGAGGCGGCCGCCTCTCAGTGCCGGGCAAGCCATCGCCATGCTGTGTTATATGTGGCCGTTCCCCATCTGCTCCACCCCAGAGGCGGCCGCCTCTCAGTGCCGGGCAAGCCATCGCCATGCTGTGTTATATGTGGCCGTTCCCCATCTGCTCCACCCCAGAGGCGGCCGCCTCTCAGTGCCGGGCAAGCCATCGCCATGCTGTGTTATATGTGGCCGTTCCCCATCTGCTCCACCCCAGAGGCGGCCGCCTCTCAGTGCCGGGCAAGCCATCGCCATGCTGTGTTATATGTGGCCGTTCCCCATCTGCTCCACCCCAGAGGCGGCCGCCTCTCAGTGCCGGGCAAGCCATCGCCATGCTGTGTTATATGTGGCCGTTCCCCATCTGCTCCACCCCAGAGGCGTCCGCATCTCAGTGCCGGGCGAGTCATCTCAGTGTGGCGTTATGTGCAGCTGTTCCCCATCTGCTCCGCCCCAGAGGCGGCCACATCTCAGGGCCGGGCAAGCCATCGCCATGCAGTGTTATATGTGGCTGTTCCCCTTCTGCTCTGCTCCAGAGATGGCTGCATCTCAGTGCTGGGCTAGTGATCCTCCAGGGGCCCTTTGAGTTTGGAGGTGGTAGGAAGGTCCAGTACGGGAAGGGGGCTGAGGTCACAGGGAAGGAACATGGGGTGCAGTACAGTGGAGTATTAGGCCTCGCTGAGCCATCAATTGTTGGGGTCCTCTCTCAGGCTCCCTGAGTGACCCCCTCTCCTCCTGCCCCTTCTGTCCACGCAGGATATCAAGGCCCGAGCCAGCGCCTTCCGGCAGCAACAGGGCTTCTCCACTGAGGCGGGGGCCAGGACAGAGAACATCAAGAAGAATCGGTACAAAGATATCCTGCCATGTGAGTCTGGGAGGGGGTTCTGGAGTGTGCTGCCGCTGATGTCCCACCACAGAGCTTGGTGCATCTCAGTGCCAGGTGAGTTTTTCCTGGGCAGCGTTATGTGTGGCTGTTCTCCAGCTGCCCCACCGCAGAGGTGGCCGCATCTCAGGACCAGGTTTCACAGAAGTACAGCTTCCCTGGCCGGAAAGGAGTATCTCCTCTCACCCTGGTATCCCACAGGCCAGAGAAAGCCCCCCTCCCACCCCCAAATCATTCCTACAGCAGATCTTTTAGAAACGCATCCGTTCCACCACCCCGCTGGGGAACCCGGCCCATGGCTAGTCACACGCACCGTGAGCAACCGGCGCCTTATTCCCAGTCTAACGTCCCAGCCCATGTGGGGCCTTCTCCCCCCTCCCCCCCATTTCTCACTCCCTCCCTCTCCCCGGCAGACGATCAGACCCGGGTCGTGCTGAATCTCCGCACCGAGGAAGGGCAGACGGACTACATCAACGCCAGTTTCATCGAGGTAGCCCTCCACCTGCAGCAGGGCGGGCCCCGGCAGCCTGTTGGG